TAAAGTTAAATTAGGGAGGTGTCGATTGTTCTTTTTTGATGAGGGAACAATTGTTGTTAGATGGTAGAAAGCTCAGCTAGGCCGAATATGTGTCTCCTCTGTGGGAAAATAAAGGGGGTATAGATAAACCATCAAGACACACATTTAGCTGCTTACTGAATGCACGTTTGCTGAGTTGTAGTCTCTCCTTGACTCGTCCCTGTCTGCTGTGGAGGAGGGACAGGCAGGTGAGGTCTGTGACAATCCAGAGCGAGGCTAACTGCTCCTGTCACTTCTCATCCGTCACAGAGAGATCTGAGACAAAGAGAGAGGATCGTTACTTCTCTCTCCCTGCCTCATAGCTGTCAGGGCCCTGAAGCTGCTGGAAGAGTGCTCACACCTGCTCCAAGCCTCAAAAACAACACCACTTTGTTAGAGTTACAGTTGGGCGTGGCAGGATAATGGCCCACATGTCAGATTCTGCAATCCTGCTACAGTGGTTAGCACTCTCGTTACTAGGCACAAAGGTCCTTGGTTTGAAATCTGGTCAAAACAGGGCCTTTCTGAGTAGAGTTTAGATGTTCTCCTTGTGTTTTTGCAAGGTTCCTCCAGGTGCTCCGGTTTTCACGTCCACTAAAAACATGTATAATCGGCGTATTTGTTCCATGTATTTGGACAATATGAGCTGTGTCTCAGTGTTAGATACGTGTGTTATTACCTTGTCAACAGGGAGGTGTGAACGTGTGTCCCTCCCTCGCTGTGTGTGTGTGTGTGACGAGGTACTCCATGTGTGTTTTTGCCTCTCTCTCTCTTTTTGTGTGTATTTCTCTGTGTGTGTGTGTGTGACGAGGTACTCCATGTGTGTTTTTGCCTCTCTCTCTTTTTGTGTGTATTTCTCTGTGAGTGTGTGTGTGTGTGTGTGTGTGTGTGTTTGTGTGTGTGTGTCTAAAGCACTAAAACTAGTGGAGGTAATAAAGCTGAATAGGGTGTGTAGATTGAACATGACAATAGGAACACCCCCCCAACTTTTTGAGATGATCCGTAGTGCAGGCACAGTATGTGCTCTCCGAGTGCATATTCTAACAGAAGTCCAACTCTTCTGTGGCTAACTCTTGCTAGTTTTATCTCAAACTTTGGTCTCTTGAAGTTGTAGTTAGACGCCTCTAAACACATACCGTACAGACTAGGGGTGGGTACCTCACGATGCGATACGATATGCGATACAAAGCTTACTATAACAATTATATCACAATATGACAATTGTCAATACATTGGTCCGAAATATACTGTTATAGAAATCTTTTAGTAAAGCAATCTGAATAAACACAAAATAGTTATAAGCGTAAGTTATTAACAAATTCTCAACTCTGGATTCAAATATGGTCGGTTGGCAGCAATAGATGGAGATGTGTTTCTTTGGCAATATCTGAGTCAAAGAACAACATGTTCAGCTCAAAGCAGATTATTACGAGATGCGCAGCCATATACAAAGTATTGATACTAATTTAAAAATATATATATATAAAAAAAAAATATTTTTTTCATCAATACTTGGCAAAAGCATATCAATAATCGATCGCGTGAGAAGGTATCACGATACATCACCTTATCGATATATTGTCACACTCCTAGTACAGACCAAGTTTGGACACACTTTCTCATTCAATGAGTGTCTTGACTGTTTCATGACTATTGACTGTAGATCCACACCCAAGCTGTGTAAGGGCTATTTGTCCAATAAGGAGAGTGGTGGGTGCTGGGCCAGATGACCTGGCTTCCACAGTCACCTGACTTGAACCCAATCCACATGGTTTTGGGGTGAGCTGGACCACAGAGTGAAGGCAAAAGGGCCAAAAAGTGCTATGCATCTCTGGGAACTCCTTCAAGACAGTTGGAAGACCATTTCAGGTCCTCTTGAAGCTAATCAAGAGAATGCCATGAGTGTGTGAAGCAGTAATCACAGCCAAAGGTGCAACTTTGAAGAACCTTGAATAAGACATATTTTCAGTTGTTTCCTACTTTTTTAGATAATTCATAGTTTTGATGCCTTCAGTGTGAATCTACAATTTTCAGAATCATGAAAATAAAAAACTCTTTGAATGAGAAGGTGTGTCCAAACTTTTGATCTGTACTGTACATGAAACTCTCTGTCCTCACACAGATCCTGAAGTTCATCTCAGACTTCCTGGCCTTCCTCGTCCTCTATAACTTCATCATTCCCATCTCTCTCTACGTCACCGTGGAGATGCAGAAGTTCTTGGGTTCGTTCTTCATCGGCTGGGACATGGACCTGTACCACGAGGAAAGCGACCAGAAGGCTCAGGTCAACACCTCGGACCTCAACGAGGAGCTCGGACAGGTGCGAGCTCTGGGAAACCTACAAACGTCTATGTGGGCCATAATTCTGCTGCAGATTGTAGTGAAGCTTTTCAGTCATTCCCTCAGATCCAAGACTGAGGCTTCTGTAGATCCAGGACTGAGGCTCTGTTTGGGTCTTTGTGTTTTCAGGTGGAGTACGTCTTCACTGATAAAACCGGGACGCTCACAGAAAACGAGATGCAGTTTCGGGAGTGTTCCATTAACGGAACCAAGTTCCGTGAAGTCAACAGCAAACTGGTGCCAGAGGGTCTGACGGACGAGTGCTCTGCTGCCTCCTCCCCCCACATGGTACTGCTCTGTCACTGCCGGCCAAAGTCACACTGGAATTAGTGTTTCAGCTGGTGCCCATGCAAGTCAATGAGTTGAGAAAGAAAATATAGAAATCTTTTTATATAACTATTGTATACATTAGTGGGGGTCGTGACCTCGGTAGTTTGGGAATCCCTGAAAATCGTTCAAATGTTCTGACAAACACAATGCGGAACATTGTGGGAGTTTGTGTCGGATGTGACCCAGGAATTAGAGACACTAGCTCTAAACTAAGACTAGAGTTACCATATGTTAATAAAAATGTGGGGTTCTCTCTGGTCCCTTGCTGAACCCCCTCCCTCCTCAGATGGGGGTTCTCTCTGGTCTGTAGCTGACTCCCTCCCTCCGGTGGGGGTTCTTTCTTGTCTCTTGCTGACCCCCCTCCCTCCCTCAGATGGGGGTTCTCTCTGGTCTCTAGCTGACTCCCTCCCTCAGGTGGGGGTTCTTTCTTGTCTCTTGCTGACGCCACTCCCTCCCTCAGGTGGGGGACGAGCTGCTGTTCCTCAAAGCCGTGGCCTTGTGTCACACAGTGCAGATCAGCCACGACTCATCGGACTGCCACGCCCCGGGATCCGACCCCTTCTCCCTCATCAACGGGTTCTCCTCCAGCCACATGGAGTACTACGCCTCCTCGCCGGACGAGAAAGCCCTGGTGGAGGCAGCCAAGAGGTGAGTCCGCTAAACTGAGGAGAAGAGGGATAAGTTCTTACATATGATGACCTTGTCTCAGTAGTATCAGGTTTACGTCTTTTCCTTTGCTCTTCTCCTTTCCCTCTCCTCCTCCTGCTCTCCCTGTCCTTCTTCCCCCTTCTCTGCCTCCTCTTCTTCTCCTCCACCTCCTGCTCTTCTTCTTCCCTTCTCCTCTCCTTCTTTACTTCCTCCTTCTCCACCTCTTGCTCTTTCTCTCCTCCTGTTCTCCCTATCCTTCTCCCCCCTTCTCTGCCTCCTCTTCTTCTCCTCTGATCCTCCTTCTCCTTTCCTCTACTCCTACTGCTCTTGCTCTCCTCCTTCTGTGCTGCAATCACATATGGCATGTAAAACATCTCAGTTGGTGATAAAAAGCCGAGGCGCATGTCTTTAGAACAGATTAAAAAAACCTCCAGTGAAGGAGGTGCTGTGATGTTTGGGAGCAGCAGTAAGGTCCTGGTCTCCACCAGATTTGAGTCCAGAGCTGAGCGTGTTTATAGCTGGTTTCAAAAGCTCCAGAACGTAGCATACATTCCAGTGAGTTTATGTGAACAGCAGAGAGAGAAAGTGCAGGGACTTGGGCTTTTGTCATAGTTTATGGACTTATCATTATTTTGACTTGAAAAAGTTTTAGTTGGAAACGTTATGGTCAAAATAGACTGGATTTGCTCCATCAGCTGTTGCTGCAGTGTTAAAATGAAAATAAAAACCTGAATCTTATGTGGTACTGTCTCTTTAATGCAGCTGTTGGGGTTTGTAACGGGTGTTTTAATAATACCAAAATGCTGTAATAGGTTTTTGTTGATTGACAGGATCGGAGTGGCCTTCACCAGCAGCAACGGAGACACCATGGAAATCAAAACATTTGGAAAAATAGAAAAGTGAGTGTTGAATGCTTTTATTTTTTATTTATTATCTCTGCTCAATCTCTGGGACCTGGCGCCTGTTTAATTTAACGTTTGCGTTGTTTGTTATTTATTTAATTCAAACATGCACAACATAAACCAACCATTATTCACAAAAAGTAGAATAAAAGAATAAAAACTTGGATTGGATTAAGATATTGGATTAATCCAATCCCCTCCCAGCCAATCAGCTTTCCCACACAAACACACACCACTATAGTCCAATACAGCTCTCACACACTCACATGAGCTCTGACTGCAGACGCTGCTCCCTCTCCAGGCCACAGGTTTAATAATGTCTTGTGTTGTTGTGTGTCTATAGATTCAAACTGCTCCATGTTTTAGAGTTTGATCCAAACAGAAGAAGAATGAGTGTGATCCTGCAGACTCCCTCAGGTCAGAACATCAGATCATCGAGCCCCATGCTCTGAGAGAGTGATCCTGACCTCTGCTTCCACAGGCGCTCAGACCATGTTCACCAAAGGAGCGGAGTCGGCCATTTTGCCTTTTTCCAGCAGCGGCGAAATGGAGAAGACTCGGCTGCATGTTGACGAGTTCGCTTTGGTGAGAGATTGATTTAGAAAGAGCATCGATGGAAGAGGGGGTCATTCACCAGGTCATGGGGTCAGAGCAGTGTGTGGTTAAAGGGGAAGTTTTCTGTAGAGCAGTGTGTGGTTAAAGGGGAGATGTTTTGTAGAGCAGTGTGTGGTTAAAGGGGAGATGTTTTGTAGAGCAGTGTGTGGTTAAAGGGGAGATGTTTTGTAGAGCAGTGTGTGGTTAAAGAGGAAGTGTTCTGTAGAGCAGTGTGTGGTTAAAGGGGAAGTGTTCTGTAGAGCAGTGTGTGGTTAATGGGGAAGTGTTCTGTAGAGCAGTGTGTGGTTAAAGGGGAGGTGTTTTGTAGAGCAGTGTGTGGTTAAAGGGGAGGTGTTTTGTAGAGCAGTGTGTGGTTAAAGGGGAGGTGTTTTGTAGAGCAGTGTGTGGTTAAAGGGGAAGTGTTCTGTAGAGCAGTGTGTGGTTAAAGGGGAAGTGTTCTGTAGAGCAGTGTGTGGTTAAAGCGGAAGTGTTCTGTAGAGCAGTGTGTGGTTAAAGGGGAGGTGTTTTGTAGAGCAGTGTGTGGTTAAAGGGGAAGTGTTCTGTAGAGCAGTGTGTGGTTAAAGGGGAAGTGTTCTGTAGAGCAGTGTGTGGTTAAAGCGGAAGTGTTCTGTAGAGCAGTGCGTGTTTAAAGCGGAGGACAGAGTTATATTAGTCACCCGATTCAAATTCAGTCACTTTTTGTGTGTAGATTGTCCAAGAGTGTGGTGTTTTGTGATTCATAAATATTCATCCTGAGAACAGTAAGAAGTATTGTTTTTCACATAGATTTTTATTATTCTATTAACTGAATACAGACGCTTAAGCAACAAATGTTTGATTTTTGTCCAACAAAGTCCAACAGACCTCAATGCCAAACATAATCTGCTGGGCTGATATGCAAACACTACGTGCTCATTTTGACGCTTCCATCCGTTAATTTTAAAACATTTTCCATCCTCGGGGCCAACACATGCAGTCAGCTTATTCTTTTATGTTCACTGGAGTTTGTTGTTGTTGTCAAAGTCATAGTAGGTGCACCAGTATAATCGGTCCGCAGAAACTCCCACATTGATAAAGGTTACGCGGTGCAAAATGTATCAAATATGTGTAATAAATGTCATGCGCTATTTTTTGTAATGAATTCTGATCTCCTCTCTGTCATGTTCCTCCTCGTCACCTCCTTGTGTCACTCCTTGCAGAAAGGCTTGCGCACCCTGGTGGTGGCCTGCCGTCACTTCAGTCCAGAGCAGTACCAGGAGGTGGACCGGCGGCTGAACGCAGCTCGCACAGCGCTGCAGCAGAGAGAGGAGAAGCTCCAGGAGGCCTTTACCTTCATCGAGAAGGATCTGCACCTCCTGGGAGCCACAGGGGTCGAGGACAAGTACGTGCCCAGTGTGTGTGACCTCTGGGAAAAGCTTTGCATGTTGTTTGGATCCGTGTCTGCTTTTTTTGTCACAGGAAAGACATGAGTATATCAAAATTAAAGGGCCCAAACTAACTTTCAAAAAACCCTCAGAGCGAGAGAGAGAGGGAGAGAGAGAGAGCGTTTAGAGGCTTTTTCAGGCCACTGTGCGGCGAGAGTTTGTATGAGCTTGTAACTGATCATTTATGTAACAGATTTTGTCCTTTTTTGCAGTTTGTAAAGAATGCAGCAATAATATTCACTCGTGGCAGCAGTAATATGAGACCCTTTTCAAGGCTGTTAACTTCAGGCGGACAAAAACACATGACTCTAGTATAAATCAGTCTCATCCGCACATTTACCGGTGTGTTCGGGCACATTTGAGAAGCTCCAGAAGCACAGACTCTAGCTGCGCGAGTGAATGAGTTTGAATGGCCTCCGCTCTCGCAGTCTGCTGCCTCTGTCCCTTGTGTCTCCTGCTACAATCACACCATCTCTGTTATGTTATGAACTTTTTAGTAGAATATTACTTTGCTCATATCCAAGGCAACATCAAATTATGTTCGCTCATACATTCCTTTGTGGAGGTAGTATGTCTTATAATGTATATCTATATGTCTATTTACACTTTTTATTGGTTAAGGTTCAGGTATGCTTTACAAAGTTCCTAACAAAGACTATATATAGATGCACAGTGCTAACCTGCTAGCTCAATTAAGTCCAATAGGAACGTGCTCATGGGGATTTTTGGCTCCATCTCTCTCTGGCTCCTATTGACTTACATGTAAAAGTAAACTCCTAGCTCAGTAATCATTTGTGTCACACTCGCCTTTTTGGCCTTAAATCTGTGGTTTAGTGCTCTCTGTGAACCTGGTTATTTATAATGTGATATTGTCTTTGTAAATCCAGATAAGGACAGACCAATCGGGTGCCTTCATTCACAGGGGAAACTCAAGTTTGCCCTAGCAACCGTCTCAGAAACACATCTTCCCCTGTTTTGCCATCAGAAAAAATGCCCATATAAGAAAATGTGTTATCGGTAGCTTACGTTCAAATTGGTCTTTTTTGGACTGTGGTGATATCACACTTGGTCCACTCCTCATATCCTCCCTGTATTCTCTTTCCATTCCTTTTCTTCCCCTCTTCTCACCCAGACTCCAGGACAAAGTGCAGGAGACCATCGAAGCCCTACGTCTGGCTGGGATCAAAGTATGGGTGCTGACGGGGGACAAACATGAGACGGCCGTCAGCGTGAGCCTGTCCTGCGGTCACTTCCACAGAACCATGAACGTTCTGGAGCTTCTACAGCAGCGGTCGGACAACCAGTGTGCGGAGCAGCTGAGGCGGCTGGCCAGGAGGTGAGACCCAGACCCTGACCCTGATCAGGTCCTGAACCCTGATCAGTGTGCCAAGCAGCTGAGGCGGCATCCTCTTTATCCGGGGCCGGTTCGCAGGGGCAGCAGTGTAACCTGCTGCTGTGATTTAGGGAAATACACAAAGACATTGAATTGAAGTGTGAGTGAATACAGCCCATGTGTCCAGTGATAGTTGGAGTGAATACAGCCCATGTGTCCGTGATAGTTGGAGTGAATACAGCCCATGTGTCCAGTGATAGTTGGAGTGAATACAGCCCATGTGTCCAGTGATAGTTGGAGTGAATACAGCCCATGTGTCCAGTGATAGTTGGGAGTGAATACAGCCTATGTGTCCAGTCATCACTCCTCTCTTCCTCCATCAGGATAAAGGAGGACCATGTGATCCAGCACGGCCTGGTGGTGGACGGGGCCAGTCTGTCTTTGGCCCTGAGAGAACACGAGAAGCTCTTTATGGAAGTGTGTAAGAACTGCTCCGCTGTGCTCTGCTGTCGTATGTCTCCGCTGCAAAAGGCCAAGGTACGAATTCAGTCTATGCAGGATTCAAAGACTTGTTCCCTTGTTATTTGGATTCATGTGGTTTAACAGTGTCTTCTGTGGAACTTTTGAGCCAAGTTGCAACATGGTTTTCCATCACGAACATACATGAGTTGTTATTTGCTTTGTCTCTGCTTGTATGAGTAATAGTAATCTACATTCTGTGTGTTGTAAAGCTAATGCTAATGTTGTGTTTCTGAGCTACACCGAAATAATTATTTCCCTGTTTCTGCTGGTTCTGTGCGGACTTCCAGGTGGTGCGTCTGATCAAAACGTCCCCAGAGAAACCCATCACTTTAGCCGTGGGTGACGGGGCCAACGATGTCAGTATGATCCAAGAGGCCCACGTTGGCATTGGTTAGTTCACGCCTCTGTCTCACTACTGGGAATGGGTATTTTACCATCACAAGCATTCAGACTCAACAGCCTTTACAAATGGTGCATAGGGTTCAAATACAATTTCACAATTGAAAAAACACGTTTATCTTATAAAGCAAGTGAGATATTGTCCTGTCTACAGCTGCAGTATAGTCAAAACACTGCAGCTCGAGTCCTGACTAAAACCAGGAAGTACCATCAGATTAGTCCTGGTCTCAGGCCTCTGGTTCCTGTGACTCAGAGAATTGACTCTATGGCAGCTGTGTTTGTTACAATACTGTCTTTACTTAGAGGTTGCTCCCTGTCTGTCTCTAGGCATCATGGGTAAAGAGGGGCGGCAGGCTGTCAGGAACAGTGACTATGCAATTGCCAGGTTTAGATTCCTGGCTAAACTTCTGCTGGTGCACGGCCACTTCTACTACATTCGCATAGCAACTCTTGTACAGTACTTTTTCTACAAGGTAAGGACTCAGTTTGAATGGAGATTATTTATCTAAATAATGTTTTTTGTGTGGATCAGATTTAATGTTCTTTTCTGTGTCTTTTGTAGAATGTGTGTTTTATCACTCCCCAGTTTTTATACCAGTTCTTCTGTCTGTTTTCACAACAAGTAAGTCTGCCTTTTGAATGTCTTCATTAACTCATCATTGTGGGAAATTATTTGTTTTAGCCATTTTAAGACTTGCACATTAGTCATATTTATTTACGTTTTTTAACCAAGAACGTTATAGGGCTTTCTAGATAAAACACAATAATAACGATAAAACCACACTTAAAGAATGTCTTTTTCCACCTCTGCAACATCTCACATCTCTGCTCCTCCCTCCCACAAGACTGCAATAGCCCCCTCTACATTCATCCTTCCACTTTTATCCAATAACTGCAATATATCCAGAACTCTGCCCCCACCTGCTACAGAGACCACATCACCTCTAAAAAAAGAAAAAAAAATCTTAACCTTTCTGTGTGTCATAAATTATACATGTTATTTGTCCCAACAAACAATATGGTACCCCAGCCTTCAATAACGGACTTTTCCCCTTTTGTGTGTACTTTTGGTTTCCACCACTCATATGCAGATTAGTGAGAGTGTGTTCCATATTCTCCACAGACCCTGTACGACAGTGTGTACCTTACTCTTTATAACATCTGCTTCACGTCGTTGCCGATCCTGGTCTACAGCCTGTTTGAGCAGCTGGTCCATCCTCACGTGCTGCAGAGCAAACCAGCGCTTTACCGGTCAGACCCACAATATTCCATGTTTATGAATGAGAAATTATTTGAATAGAAGTTATATATGGATAAACACATCAGCTCCATCAATAAAGCTACGCCATACGTCTGCTGTAAAGCTCAGAACCTCAGGAATCCAGTCATTAACTTAATTTGTATAAACTCATTTTTGCTTAAATCAATATGGACATAACTGAACAGAATCCAATCAAAACAGTTTTAAAATTTACAATGTTATCTACCCCTTGACAAGTCTGGTGAACTAAAGCTTGGGCATCCTTGGTATTGAGGGATGAAGCCCAATAGGGAAGTGCTCATGGTGAAGGTTGGCTCCTATTGACATTCATGTAAAAGTAAACTCCTCTAGCTCAGAAACTGCCTTGTGTCACACTCCCCATTTTGGCCTTATATCTGTGGTTTAGCGCTCTCTGTGATCCTGGTGTTCATATTGTAATAATGCCGTTGTACATCCAGATATGAGCAACAACTCACAGAGCCTGTTCGAGTTAGCTCTAAGTAATTTCTTCCGCTCCTTCCACAGTCTAAGATTGCAGCGTGATGTCATCCAAATGAAGAAATGTTGTTGGAATCTTATTTGAGAAATGTACAAAACTCGGGGGGGTTTGTGTCTGAAATGTGCTCTACAGTATGGATTGAAGCGGCTCTGGTTCTGATGAGTCAACAGTGTGTATGATATGTGTCTATGAAAGCTTGTCTAACGCTGTATTTTCTTCACACAGAGACATCAGCAAAAACTCCATGCTGTCGTTTCGCACATTCCTCTACTGGACGCTGCTGGGCTTCTGTCACGCCTTCGTCTTCTTCTTTGGCTCCTACATTCTGATGGGAGAGGACACCAGCCTCATGGGCAACGGACAGGTAGGCTGAGGAAGGCTCACGAGACCAACTAGGCCTGGACTGGTCCGGTCTGGTTTGGTCTGGTCCAGAACTCCTATTCCCTCTTAGCTTAGTATGTGGTAAATGATGCAACGTCTTTCCCATATGACAGCTACTCTATAGTTTTCCAGAGTTACTGAAACCGAAAATGTCCCACTGTGGGACGAATAAAGGACCATTCAAACTTTGGTAGAGTTTAAAATATGTTCTGGCGTACCATAGGTGGGTACCATAGCAATCTCAAATGTATAAAAGAATCAAAGCTTGTCCAGTTTCCCCCTTGGGGTGAGGGTAGGGTAATGCAGAGCAGGGTAGGGAACGGGTGGAAACGGGGCCTAACTGCTTATCTTTCTGCTGCTGCTACTGTTTATTACTCATTACTATTTCTCTCTTTCTGCTTTTTGTGGCTTTTACAAAACCTTTGCCATCTGTTTTTTTCCAACCTTTTTTCTCGTATTAACCTTTATGAATGCTGTGTTTGGTGTGTTTTTGATCTGTTTTCTCATATTAACCTTTACGAATGCTGTGTTTGGTGTGTTTCTGTTCTCCTCCTTCCTCTCTGCGTGTGTCGTGTCCTGCTGTGCTTCAGGTCCTGCGCACTAACAGGCAGCTGGTGAGTCTCTTCTGTTCTGTGAGCCACAGCGTCTGCATGTTTTGGCTTCACGTAGATCAATATATACAACTTTATCCAGTATTTAGTCAGGCCCCTACAGTACAAGTTATCCCACTTAAAAAGACTATAGTCTGTAATCATCATAGATAAACCTCAGCTGTGAGAAAATGTGAGTAAAATAAGTATTTAGTCAATAACAAAAGTCCATCTCAATACTTTGTTATATTCCCTTTTTTGGTCAAACATTTTCTGTAAGTCTTCACAAGGTTTCCACACACTGTTGCTGGTATTTTGGCCAATTCCTCCTGCAGATCTCTGCTAGAGCAGTCATGTATTGCTCGACTGTATGTTGGGTTAAATTTCCACCCATTATCTCTGGAAATGTCTTTAGTAGAGTATAGTAGGGTGTAGTGGGGTCAGGATCGGGAGCAGCAGGGCCTGTCCCTGTGTTTCTCAGAATCCCAGCAGGAGACCAGTCTCTGGTCTCCTCAGTCCCAGTTGGTTCATATGTCACTAAAATGTCACAGATGTACTTTGGTGCGAGGCCATGGAGAGACTTGTAACAAACAGAGCTGCTCTAAAGTACGTAAGACTAGAGTTCCTGCCACTCCTGCATCAAGAGCTCGTTAACAAGAATACAAATCTGCATCCCGTTGCCTCTTTATCCATTGCCGAGGCGCAGTGGCAGTCTCAAAGAGACACCCAGACTAGCCTAACGATAGACACCTTCTCCGGCTGTCGATGGAATGACAAGGGAAAAAATATAATTTTGACAATAGAAAATGATTGTAGTCAGAGCAGTAATGCATTTAAGTGTGTCCCTTGTCTCAATTTTGTCGAGCTCAGATTTCCTACAGAGAAGTGGATGAACTGTGAACTAGGGCTGGACGATATGGCAAAAAAGTAAAATCTCAATTTTATTTGCTGCTTTGGACGATTTCGATTTTATATCAATTTTCATTAAAGTCACAAAAGAAAAACGTAGCCCATAAAAATATTTTTTGATCTTTCCCCTCAATATTCAAGTTTCAAAACTATTTTTAATTTGTTTCCCCCAATACGTAATACAAAAGTGTTGTACAGACTGTGCTGATATTGAAAGTATATTCATGTGCTGCTCTAACAATATCCTTCGATTTCACAATTTTCACATTTTTCACCAATTCGATTTTTTTCAAAAGCTGATTAATTGGCGATCGATTTATTGCCCAGCCCTACTGTGAACAGAACACTGCCCCCTGCAGTGATCCTAAATAAGAGCTATTCTGAACCTAAAGAGCTGAGACACAGAAGGAAGCTGCAACTCGGGCCGGTTACAGAAGCATACTGGCAGTCTGTGCTATCAGCCCATCCCACCACCACCAACCACTCACACATACATCACTCATTCTAAAGTGGAGGTGTCTTGCCTAAGGACACCACCACAGTTTGGCACTTTACAGTAGCAGTAGCCGTCATAGCAGTAGCAGCAGTAGTAGGTGCTGAGGGCTCGTTCCATGGTTGAGAAACACAGATACTTAAGATTTATCTTCTACTTTAAATAGTTTTTGTTTTTCTAGATGTTTGGAAACTGGACGTTTGGGACGTTGGTCTTCACCGTTATGGTCATCACAGTCACATTAAAGGTACATTATCACGAATTATTTCCAAGGCATAGAAGTATGAAGGCTCTGGTTCATGGACTGAATACAGATGGACAATGATAACCCGCTAGCTCAATGAAGTATTTTACAATCTGTGTCTTTGTTGACTGTCTGATATTACTATAACTTAAAATGCATTAATACCACAGCACTATGTAACATTGAGCTGGTGATGCCTGTGGTTTTCATTTACATTTGAATTTGCTGCATTAATTCAAGCAAAAATGTCAAATTCTCAGCAGTAATGAGTTTGTTTTATGGATGAATGAACAGAACACTGACGTCAGAGCCTTCCTGCTCCTGCTTCACTTTTATACTGTACATTATACTTGTTGGTATAATGTTGTTTGTTAAAAAGAAAATCAGAAAAATAACATTCTAAAACATGAATAAAGATTCTTACATTGTATGATATATTACAAAAGCAGAACTGGAGTTGTTTTTAGATCCATCCACTCTAATATCAGGAAGTTCTGGAACAAACATGTAGCTCCGCCCCTTCTGTCTGTAACCATATGATGTCATGATGTATAAATCCATGACTCCCACTCACTGGGGTTTTGATGGACGCCCAGAGGAACATATATAACCGAAATATTGCAGGTTATCAGACACTGTTGTGATGAAGTCAGAGGCTGTAACTCGAGGTCAGGGTCCTCTGTGCAGTTAACCCACTCTCCCTCTCTCCCTCACCCCCTCACTCCCTCACTCTCTCACAGCTGGCTCTGGAGACGCACTTTTGGACCTGGATGAACCACTTTGTGACCTGGGGATCTATCGCTTTCTACTTCATCTTCTCGCTGTTCTATGGAGGCATCATCTGGTGAGAGTAGTACATGTTTTTGTATTTGCACAAAAAACGTTGACGTCTCTTTTAAAATAAGTAGGTCTTGTGGTCATTTTAACCATATTGACAATTCAAATCAATCAGATCATTATTCTGTCTCTCTGTCTCTCTCAGGTTGAAGCTTCATCGCCCAGGCCATTAATACTCCTTCTGCATTGATTCTGATTTCTGATGATTATTTCTCTCCGTTTCTTTGAAAGCTTTCTAGAACATGTCAAAGCTCTGTAATAACTGTTTTGTGTTGTGTGTCTCTCCAGGCCGTTTTTGCACACACAGGACATGTACTTTGTGTTCGTCCAGCTCTTGTCCAGCGGTTCCGCCTGGTTTGCCATCTTTATCATCGTCATCACCTGCCTCTTCCCCGACGTCATCAAGAAGGTCTTCTATCGACACCTGAGGCCCACCCACACGCAGAAGAGCCAGGTACACACACACACACACACGTAGGTCTTGAGATCATCTTTATATTGAACTACTGTATTTTCTACTGGCATTACCCATAATGCTTTGCTTTTTTGAGTTGTATGCAGTAAAGTTGTTACCGGGCCTGTTGGAGCCAGTTAATGTATTATAATTTATTACTGTCAATGTCAACTTTATTTGTATAGCACATTTACAACAACACCAGCTGCCCAAAGCCACGAAAGACAAAAAATAAAATAAAACGGCCTAAAATACATACATGTAAAAAATAAAATGGTAAAACTCAATTGGTGTTAAAAGCTAAGGTGTAAAAGTCTGTCTTTAGACTAGACTTAAAAACTTCCAATGATGGAGCTGCTCTAATGAACAGAGGAAGACTATTCCACAATTTGGGGGCAGCCACAGAAAAGCTGGTTTTCAGACCTCACTGATCTGACAAGAGCATACAGCAATAACAGCTCCGACAGATATGCCAAACCATTTAAACATTTTATAACAAGCATCAGAATCTTAAAATCAACCCTGAATGTAACCGGGAGCCAGTGAAGTGAGGCCAGCACAGGGGTGATGTGTTCTCTTACATGTCCCAGTGAGCACGCTAGCAGCAGCATTCTGCTGAAGGTGCTTTATTGAGCTGAGGTCCAGGCCACAGTACAACAAGTTGCAGTAATCTAGCCTTGATGAAATAAAAAGGTGGATAACTTTCTCAAAGTTAGTGGGTGGGATGTAAGCCTTCACTTTGCTCATGACCCGGAGCTGATAGAAGCTTACTATTTATTTAATGTTTATTAGTTCCTTTCTGTCATTGGGATAGCCTGGCCTTAGCCATCCGTACACTCCGCTCAATTATCATTTCCCTGCATGTATTGTCTAGGTCTGGTCCCTGTGTTAGCGATTACAATCGGTTGAATTCCATCCGACCAATCAGCGAGCGCGGGAGGCGGGTGTTGTAGTTAGATGGAGGTGACGTCAACAGTTTGCGTCGAAGGGGTAGGTTGTAGTTTGGCAATGGCGAAGAATGTGATCGTAAAGTAATCCGGTCTGCTTCTATCAAGAAATTGAAGCTGGAGCAAGAGGAATGTTTAGCAAATGTAATCGCTGGCAAAAATTGTGGCGCTACTCCGCACGGGCTTTGTTAGCAGCAAAGGAAATGAAAAAAACCCCCTCACACACAAACACACAGAGACACTCACAAACACTTTGCAGCCTTCTCACTCCATTGATTGATTTCTTGGAGACTGCTTAAAGCCACCTGGACCTTTCCTTCTTCATGTTGTGTATTCTACCTCTTTTGACCTGTTCAGACCTGGATAACATTTATATACAGTGTAATACTCATCAGCTGCTCACATGTATAGAGTTTGCATGTTCTTCCTGTGTCTGTGTAGGTTTTTCTCAGACTGGGTGTGTGTACGTATGTATGTGGGTCTAACCTTCTCTCCTCCCCCACTTGGTCTCTGTTTGTGTGTGTGTGTGTCTAACTCTCTCTCCTCCTCCACTTTCCCACCGCTTCCCGTCTCACGTAGATGTACTCGAACCGTGTGGCCATAGGGGATGACTTCATCGCACTGCAGCCTCTGTCCCGAGCCAAGACCCAGCTGGGCAAGATTAGGTAGAGCCGCCCGGCCTGGTCCCCCGTGAGCCCCCACTGCTGACCCCAGTGAAGCTGTGCTGGACAGACTTCTGGTAGCACTGTGAACCAACACAGCTACCAGGGGAGTGTGGCGTGATCACAAGGTTTTAAAGGGGAATTGTTTTAGGTATAAATCTAGAAATCTAGTTTTATTTAAAAAAAACGTTCTGAACAGTGCGGCAGATTGAACTAACCAGGACATATTGTCAAGGACTCATCCTGACAGTCCGGACAGGGACTGGGTACCAGCAGGAGGCCAGTCCCTGTGCTGGGCAATAAAATATAATTAAATTTAAAATAATGACTTAGAAATGAATTGCACATAGACAGTGAAGGTCACAACATTTTGAAGAGCAAATGGGTACATGAGGATTTTGCTGAGGATTTAGACTGTGGGAGTTCTAGTATCACCAGGTCATGACTGTGTGACGCCCCCTTTAAAACACTCAAGTGATCCGGTTTGGCGAACCATCATTTGTGTTTCCACCATTAGTTTCTGTGTCACTGCGTCTTGATTTTTTTGATTACTGTCAGTTCTTTGCTTCAATGCTGATGTTGCATGATATACGTTTTATACCCTGCATGCCCTGTTCGAGTTCTGTCAGCACTTTAGGAAACAAGATAAAAGCAGTAAAATATGTATATTGTGACCTTTGCTTTCCGCCGCTTCTGGTTTAGGCTCTCAAAGTTTCTGGTTTATGTTTATTGTTGTGCACGATTGTGTACGCAGCAGCTTTTGAATGCAGCTTTTAGCTCGTTTTGTGAGAGAAGCTGCAGAGAAAGAGAAACTTGAGTCTGCCGCATGGTTCTCTCACATGAAAGACTGAATGAATGATTTATCTGGATCCCCCTCTCACTTTTACAGCAGACGCAGCACAATGTCTGCTCTGGTGTCTCTGGTTCACATGCTGTTTTAAGGGTTATACAGGTCAGGTTCTTCTGCAGAAGTTAATGTGAACCTCTGTTACTTTTCAAAATGAGAAGAGAACTTTTTTGATGCAAGCACTGGTTTATCTGCCTGCTCTACCTGCACTGCTAAAAGTGCAAAAACCTTCATAATGTAGCAAATGATTACTACAAAAGAAAAACACTTTTACAGACCAGCTCTTTTTGTCTGGGGTCCAAAATATGAAATGCCGTTAAAGATTGTGTTTACATTACGCTTCAGTATCTGGTACCGTATCCTTACAACCTACCCACAGCAAACCAGTATCCAGGGAAATTGTTTGGTAGCCATGGTGATAAAGCTGTTTCAGCTACAGTTGAACCTGATGAAATCTCACACAACAAAGAGACTAAGTTAATCTTCTACTTGTTACATTGTACAAGGAGAATGTCTTGACAGAGGCAAGGCACAGACCCCAGCCTCTCTCAGGACAAGTCTGAAGATTCACAGTCTGCAAGCCCCTTTTGGTAGAGCAAGACACCTTCGTATGCAGATGGAAAAGGAAGAAACCAACACAACAAAAGAACAGTGAGACATTAGCATCCTCAAAACCTGCTTCCTCCTGGCATCTGCATACAACCCCCAAGCACTCTGAAGTCAACAGTGGATTACAATACAGACAGTATAGAATTCAGCCACAAATGATTTAGCAAAATGATAACTAAAGTTACATTCCAATATCATTCCCTCCTTTTTTTCCTTTTGATAAATCAAACAATCTATGTTTAAACATGGAGAACATGGAGAACTGAAAATGAAAAAACACACATCCAAACTGAAAAAGAAAAAAATGTTCATAGCATAATTTCACATTGTTGTTCCATAAACTATTCCCCCTATTGAGACATACATGGCTCAAAACTGAACAATGTATTAACTTTGAAATGTATTAACTTTGGTTATCAAATTCAACACCACGCACACGCCCAAAAGCCAGAAAACCCAAAGTCCATTTTCACAGTCCATAGTCAGTCCATTTGACACGTCCTCTCGACCCCTCCTCATGTTTGGTTATGACCTGAAATGTCCACTCTGTTCCTGTTTCGAAACTCTTCTCTGTCTGCGTTTCCGACGCAAGACTAGCAGCAAGCCGTTCTCCAACAACGACACAAAGCTGAACTTTCAAGTCGCAAATGTACCAAGATGTCACCTTCAATTCTCACGTCCATTTAACTTGAACAAACGGCCAGCGCCCTCCGTGGGCCTGCGCGCTTTGATCTTTGCAAATTGGCCCGTGATTATTCGTCAGCAGCTTCCGGTGCGGGGGGGGTGTGTGGAGGGTCGTTTTGTAGGTGTCGATGGCTGTATGGAGATGGCGATGGGGGTGGGTTTTCTGTCCCACAATGGAAAATAGGTGGATTTTGTTGCTTTGAAGCTTTGGCAGGGATGTGGCATTTTTCTCAAAAACAAGAAGCACATTTGTTAACACATTTCAGGATCAAAACATAAGGTGAAGGGTAATTCTAAACCAAGAAAACAGTTTCAAAGTTTCACAATGACTTTTAAAACAAGTATTCTAAACCTGGTGTTAAACTTTTCTATAATTCTTGATAATTTTTTAGACTTTCTTCACACATACTCAACTCGTTCTTGTAAAATCTCTTCCCAATGTATTTTTTTCCCTCATATTCAACTTTCTCTTCCCCAGCTGAAAAACTAACTCCTATCTCTCTCTCTCTCTCGCTCTCTAAATGTTGTTCTAGTTAGTGAGTTTGTTTTGTCAGTTTAGTTTGAGCTTAAACAGACAAACACTTAAACACATAAAACACATGGACAAAGGAAGAACACACGAGACAAAGAAGGACAAAGACAAACAAAGAAAACACATGGACAGAGGACAAAGGACCACATGGCCACAAAATGGCCGCCCTACACAATGCTTGCAATTTAACTATTTTTTTAGGTCTTTTTACAATGTCCAATTCCAAATTTTGAGTAATTTAAAGGTCTTTAAACATCCAATTTCAATGTAGCTTATTTAGATGTCTATAAATGTCCAATTTCAGTTTAGAAGTAATGTAGAAGTTCAGTCTGAAGTAATTCAATTCTAACACAGTCATTATACAGGCGTAACTCTGCGTTACCCTTTTGAATGAAACCCCGTTCATTCGAGCTCTGTAAAAGTCCTTGACTAAAGGCATAACTCTGCGTTATCCTAAATGAACGTGTTCATGTGAACTTCACACTACTTCCTGGATTACTTTTGGACATAATTTAGTGTTTAGAACTTGCCTTTTTGTTGCGATTTCATCAGAAAAAACTGTACTTCTCCCGTTGACTCCAACCCAGGGCTGTCCTGCCTCAAACCTGGAGTTCCAATGCAGTTCCGAGTGCAGAAGGCCTTGTTGTTGCTCCTGGAAGTCCATGTTTGAGACAAGCTCAGCTCCTGTAAGAAGTGTTGGGATCCGGATTCGAAGGACC